TGCGACGACGCCGCGGCCTCCCGCCCGCGCCCGCTCGCTCCCGCGGCCCTCGCTCGCCTCGCGCCGGCAGTTTTGGGCCTACACCTCCCCTCCCCCCGCCAGCCACCAAAGACTTGACCACGTAACGAGCCCAACTCCCCCGAACGCCGCCCGCCGCTCGCCATGGATGCCGGTGTGACTGAAAGTGGACTAAATGTGACTCTCACCATTCGGCTGCTTATGCACGGAAAGGAAGTAGGAAGCATCATTGGGAAGAAAGGGGAGTCGGTTAAGAGGATCCGCGAGGAGAGTGGCGCGCGGATCAACATCTCGGAGGGGAATTGCCCGGAGAGAATCATCACTCTGACCGGCCCTACCAATGCCATCTTTAAGGCCTTCGCTATGATCATCGACAAGCTGGAAGAAGATATCAACAGCTCCATGACCAACAGCACGGCGGCCAGCAGGCCCCCGGTCACCCTGAGGCTGGTGGTGCCGGCCACCCAGTGCGGCTCCCTGATTGGGAAAGGCGGGTGTAAGATCAAAGAGATCCGCGAGAGTACGGGGGCCCAAGTCCAGGTGGCGGGGGATATGCTCCCCAACTCCACCGAGCGGGCCATCACCATTGCTGGCGTGCCGCAGTCTGTCACCGAGTGTGTCAAGCAGATCTGCCTGGTCATGCTGGAGACGCTCTCCCAGTCTCCGCAAGGGAGAGTCATGACCATTCCGTACCAGCCCATGCCGGCCAGCTCTCCAGTCATCTGCGCGGGCGGCCAAGATCGGTGCAGCGACGCTGCGGGCTACCCCCATGCCACTCATGACCTGGAGGGACCACCTCTAGATGCCTACTCGATTCAAGGACAACACACCATTTCTCCGCTCGATCTGGCCAAGCTGAACCAGGTGGCAAGACAACAGTCTCACTTTGCCATGATGCACGGCGGGACCGGATTCGCCGGAATTGACTCCAGCTCTCCAGAGGTGAAAGGCTATTGGGCAAGTTTGGATGCATCTACTCAAACCACCCATGAACTCACCATTCCAAATAACTTAATTGGCTGCATAATCGGGCGCCAAGGCGCCAACATTAATGAGATCCGCCAGATGTCCGGGGCCCAGATCAAAATTGCCAATCCAGTGGAAGGCTCCTCTGGTAGGCAGGTTACTATCACTGGTTCTGCTGCCAGTATTAGTCTGGCCCAATATCTAATCAATGCCAGGCTTTCCTCCGAGAAGGGCATGGGGTGCAGCTAGAACAGTGTAGGTTTCACTTATAACCCCTTTCTGCTGTTTTCCCATGATCCAACTGTGTAATTTCTGGTCAGTGATTCCAGGTTTTAAATAATTTGTAAGTGTTCAGTTTCTACACAACTTTATCATCCGCTAAGAATTTAAAAATCACATTCTCTGTTCAGCTGTTAATGCTGGGATCCATATTTAGTTTTATAAGCTTTTCCCTGTTTTTAGTTTTGTTTTGGGTTTTTGGCTCATGAATTTTATTTCTGTTTGTCGATAAGAAATGTAAGAGTGGAATGTTAATAAATTTCAGTTTAGTTCTGTAATGTCAAGAATTTAAAAATTAAAAAATGGATTGGTTAAAAAATGCTTCATATTTGAAAAAGCTGGGAACTACTATCTTAAACTCTTTGTTGGTGGTTTTTTTTCCCTTCCCTTTTAGCGTTAGGCCTTTGTAGGGAGAAGGGTGGGCCCATTCTTGGTGTTCTCTCTAGCCCTTTTCACCTATTGGTAAGATTCCATTACCATTCTGCTCCAACAAAGGAACACAGCAGGCTCGGCCTGCTTTGGGATATTTGCAGACGGAGGGGCTTTCCCGGAGAGTGACATCCCTCCAAGTTCCAGAGAGAGGCCTCTGCCCATTTCTCTGGTAGAAAACAAGGGTTTTCTGAGATGGAAAAAGTAGCCCATTCGGTAGGAACTGCAATGAATGGCAGTGTGTCCTCCCGTCCAGCCAGCCCCACCCCCCAACCCAATCTCACAGGGGAAACTTGGCCAGGAAGAAACAAAAAAAAATGTTCTAAGGTGGGAGGAGCCGGGGGGGGGGCGCCCAAAGGAGAGATGGGGGAGGGAAAAGGGCTGGGCTGGGGCTGAAGGGAGGGGCTGAGGTGGGGGGAAGGGAAAGGGTCAAGGGTGTGTTTGAGGAGTTGGAAGAGGGCAGGGGTGGTGATAGGGTTGGAGGGGTCTTGGGCCCCAGGACTGAATGGGGGATGGTACCAGTGGGGTACACGTGGCGAGCATGCACCTGTGGCAAGTAGCCTGTCAGGGGATGTTATTACACCTACCAAGTGGTGAATCCAGAAACAAAAGAGGCCCGGCTTCTAATTCTTCAGCTGTGTGCAATGTTACAGAAGTCATTATACCAGGAAATAATCCTGCGTAAATGGGGCAGCCCTCACAGGCAGGAATGTAGCTAGATCCATTGACTGTAGCCTAAGAATGTGTTAAAAATGCAGATTCCTGGGACCCACCCCCAGATCTAATCGGAAGACTGCATTTTTAACAAAACCCCAAAAGGTTCTTAGATTTAAGTGCCACTGGGCGCCTGGGTGGCTCAGATGGTTAAGCGTCTGCCTTCGGCTCAGGTCATGATCCCGGGGTCCTGGGATCGAGTCCCACATCGGGCTC